ACAAAGTATCCGGAGCAGATATGTTTGGTGGGATACCATCTGAGTAAAAAGCCGGCGAGTTCGGCACCCAGATACCAAAAATACCACTTGCGTCTTTATACAGACGGAAGTTTCCAGCTGACGTTGACCGTGTAAATTCAGTGCCAGTCCAAAGGATTGAATCAGCACCTGAACCTTGTGACAGTTTCGCGGCTTGAAGAGGGGCGCATGGGTCTTTGGTGTCTATGGTGAACACCTCAAGTGCCTTTGAGGCGCCTCGAGTGTCATCACTTTCACCAAATACCGATAATATTTGTTGTTGTTGGACCGATGATGCCATGATATAAGAGAATGAAGATATTGTTGAATGTTGAACGAATGTAAGACAAATTAATGAATGGTGCATGAAACGAGAGGGAATGACTATTTATAGTAAGTATCACTCCCTCGTATTACTCTGCACAATGATTCTAAGACAAAGAGTCTATTTTATTTCGTTCGTTTGAGTCCCTCATTCTCTTGTCTAATGAATTCTAATTCTTGTATACACAAGACCTGAGATACCTCGATATTTCATATTATCTCTTTATCTATATAATTAAATCATTTGACAAAGAGATGAAATAAACAGACGAACAATGAAAATGTTTCATGAATTGCCGTCTGCTTTATTTCTTATATGTATCGTCTGGTAAATTCTAGGTTTTATGAACAACGATCAATTTATTAACTATGGTCGGCCGTCTGCTTTTTTGTACAGTGAAAAATAGGACAATATGTGGAGACATCGTAGATGTCGTACGTCCGTTATCGCACATGTATCTGCGTTAGTGTGTACGCTTATTGCCGTACGCTTTTGATTGGTGTGTCTATGCTATGGCTGTAGGCCATTTTGTCTATGTCCATAAGCATTCAATTTTTAAATAAAAGACGCCAGGCTTTTAATTTCTGAAAGATAATGATTCATCTTTTGTAGACGCTAGCTTTAATTTTTGAATGGGATAATGAAAGCAGAATGACTGCAGATATCAAGTTATTTGATAGAATAATAATCAAAAACTGTCACTGACACGTTTCTGATCGTCCTTGCCGAGATAAAGAGTGATGTGAGAACAAATGCCTTAATTTCAGGCTCTTTGAAATCAACTTATAACTTTGATTTTACAGTTATCTTTAAATGGCGTAACGTTATCGGAGATGGAATTCGTCAAAAAAGCGGAATGTATGCAAATATGAAATATGTCGTGCTCTTATTATCAATAGGAATCTTATCGGTGAGATTCATCCTGTTAATAAAGCACGTTCTATTGTGGACTACGAGCAGTAGTAAGCACAATAGTTCACCCTGACCAAACTTGCTCGAGCCCAGGTAGAACAATTCAAGATAATGTGCACTTAATCAAGTCGATTATTGAGCACTACGCAAGGAACCGCGAGCCACTAGGTATCATTTTATTGGATCAAGAAAAGGCTTTTGACCGAGTCAATCACCGTTACCTCTTTGAGGCGTTACGGAGTTTTGGATTTGGACAGAAGTTCATTCGTTGGATAAGGCTAATGTACACCGGTGCCACTTTTCGAATCAAAATAAATGATTCGATAATACAACCAATGAATTTCGAGTCTGGAGTGCGACAAGATTGCTCGGCATCTGGTATTATATATGTAGTGTGCCTCGAACCCCTACTTCATAATATCAGGAATAATCCTAAAATACCAGGTATCATTCCACCAGATGCACAGTATGAGGCTGTACGAAAGAAGGCCTTCCCTTATGATGGAATCGATAGCACAATAAAGACAATAGCATATGCGGACGATATTGATACTATC